ACTACTACCCTGTATTCCGTTACTTCTACCCTTTTTCAGCTACTTCTACCCTGTATTCAGTTATTTCTACCCTATATCCAGCCACTCCCACCCTGTATCCAGCTACTCCTTCCCTGCATCCAGCTACTCCTACCCTGTTTTCAGCTACTTCTACCCTGTATTTAGTTAGTTCTACCCTGTTTTCAGTTACTTCTAACGTTTATTCAGTTACTTCTATCCTTTATCCAGCTACGTCTACCCTGCATTCAGTTTCTTCCCTGTATTCAGCTACTCCTACCCTGTTTTAATTACTCCTACCCTATATCCAGCCAATTCTACCCTGTATTCAGTTACTTCTATCCTGCATTCAGTTACTTCTACCCTAGGGTTAGGTTGACTGAAACCCTGGACTTGAAAATACCTTTGACTTGTCAGTTGTAAAAATACATAAGTAGTAAATGCTAAATAACATGTAATTTTTGTTCTTACTTATACTATCAGAACAGTCAAGCTATTATTTTCTTTTTTGTAGCAAATTCTTATTGGTTCTGCATTACGCCGTCCACATGCAACGTCATATTCTCCTTTGGATTACCAGATAATGCCAGATGTTGGAAAAGCCCCAAAACAGCCTTACAGATCACAGTCTGCTGGCACAGTCTATAGATATGCAAGCAGACCTTTATCTGCAGTACATGCTGGAACATTGCATGGAAAACAGACTAAATCAAGTTTACTTAGAAACAAATCTATTTCTTGTGATTCCATTGCTTCCAAAACAAGTAGCAGTTTTCACACCCCGAGCAGGCCAAGTAGTGGGAACAAGAGATTGTGTGAAATACGTAAGTCTGCTATTTAAGAAAATTATAACATAGTTTGCAGGAAGGTGAGAAAGACCCAGATGTGATGCTCATTTCTCACATTTCTCATATATAACAGGTGATGATTATAGATTTTTCAAAAAGGGACAACCGGGAAAACAGTAAGATAAAAGTTTCTATTTTCACTGTTTGTGGTTATATAAAGGACTATAAATTCAAAGCATSATATTATTAATCATTTTTGTACAGATTTCCACTTCATGGAGAGGCAATTCACAGTTTTCTAACTGGAGCTCGATATAATAAGTAAGTTTCAYTTTTTTCCCTTTACTTCTACTCTGCTAAAAATATATAAAATTTTAATGCTAAAAGCCTATAGTTTGGCAGGTTATATACACCTATTTAAATAAAGGTTATTGGAGAGAATTGCCAATATCAGATTGTTGAGGAATGGACTATGGCGGCACTGTTTGACATACAAAATTTCACTTGCTGGGTTTACCTTTGTTAAAATGGAACAATTTTCACCACAGACTAGCTGACAGTATTAATCTGTATTAATTCACATTTTATCTGACAACCTTTTTTGAAATAGGTATATATATAAATTCTATCTGATGAGTACGTAAGCAAGAAACTCCGAGTAACAGCAAATCTTTGTTATTGTATTATACTGAGCTCTATATATGTGTATTGAGCACTCTTTAATGGGATCAGCTACTGCTT